TGCACAAGTCCTAAAACTAGATAAAGAGCACCCAATAAAACAAATGAGTCAAAAACATTATACCTGTTTATTTATTTACTGAGGAAAATGATCCACAGCTGAAACAAGAACTGATCGTGTTTTTGGTCATATTTATGCAGAAATATTGAAAATTCAAAAGGGTTCACAAACTTTTAAGCACCACTATAAGTAATTCCCCTACTCCAGAACAATCAAAACAATTCACACACAAAACAAATTCATACCAAAGTGGATTGAGAACAGTTTTGCAGGTTGGTCTACTGCACAGAACAGGCTCATACTGGACAGGCGGCAAATCTAACCGTTCTTTCAAGGGTGTTAGAAGACAAGCCAATGGAACAACCATTCTGGTGGCCTCCAATCTGCTAGAGGGCCATACGTTCCAGCTGAAACGAACTCCATCACGCTCTTCGTTTTGCTGGATAAATTCTAGGTAAGTTGCCATAGAATTGTAGTATTTCTGCAAAAACAGAACACATGTTTGAAATAGAAATTTAGAGCCCTGAATACAATAGCCATTGTAGGTTTCTTTCCACCCAGTGAACTGAAAGCCATATCCAGTATATTATTCAGGTAGTCAGAGGCTTCACTACAAAGTTACTTAACTGGCTACATTCACCCATAATGCTAAAGAAGGCGGGGAGGGCTGCCCTGATCTGTTAAATAAACTACAATGGCTAGTTCACACAGCAACTAAACTTTAAGCCATGGGTTTATAAGCCACAAAGGGCCAACTGACATATTACAAGCATACATTATGGGTAATGCTATGTTGGAAAACAGCCACTATCATTTGTAAAGCATTAATTCTTTCAGACAAGCAATTCTGTTCCTTTGGAACTAACAGTAAAATAAAAATGAAGTAAGTCTTGGATTGTTTTTCATGTCTTTCATCCGCCATTCCCCAGATGGTATTTCAAACAGTTTACAATTATAAATATTGTTTTGTCTTTTGTTTCTCTACACCTTTTTTCTTGTTTATTGAACAATGTGTTTTTTGCTTCTGTGTGCTGCATTTTTTCGTTTCTTAATAAAAGAGGAATTTCTTATTGTGCATGTTTGATGTTTTGAAATATTAATTGAAAAAGTTAGCTTAAGAGAATAAATACCACTGCATGACTATTCTATTTGAATTATAAATGATCTTTAACTAAACTCACTCATCAGATTTTTACCAGGAAACTACAGAAAACAAGTAGGCAGAAATTCAAAAGGGAAATAACTTTCTATATGTCATACCACTTCATTGCTCTGGCTTAGGAGAAAAGGTATTCTTAAACAGCAGGGTATACAGCAGTGGGATTTTATTTATGTAAAGCTGAAATGACCATTTGCTAATATACAGGCTAACTATAACCCACAAAAAATAGTTTTACCTGCAACAGTTCTATCACATTTTGATTAAACAAGATCATATTTTTCACCAGTCCTTTTTCATCGACAAGACTCATTTCATAAAATAAAATGCTGTACCAGTCTTGCACATATCTACTTCATGCACAAATATGCTACATACCTCATTACTAGGAGGCAAAGCTAACTAAGTCCATATGAAATGTTAGTTGGTCTAACAAAATCTACCACTGACCCCCCTACCACCAAAAGATGCTTTAGGTGAGCCAGGTATTCATGCAAGTAATTATCAGATATCAAGGACACATTCACACCAGCTGCCAAGAATAGCTTGCAAAATTTAGTTAACTCACCACTGAAGCAACTCTATCTGGTAAAAGAACAATCTATTTTTAAACTACTTAATAGGAATTTAAGACTGCAATTCTAATTTAATCTACCTGGAAGTAAATCTCACACACTCCAAGCTAAACCACAATTAGGCACTAATGCAATGCATGAACCAAGGCATTATGTGATACAGGATAAAAAGAAGTTTGGGACACTGCTATACTGTAGTAAAAAGCAAACTTCCTGTTGGAGATTATTAGGGAAAGAACGGAAATAAAATGCCAATACCATCATGTCTTTATACTACTCTGTGGAGTAACCACACTCATTCATGTTATACTTTTCAAAACAGAAATAGAGCTACAAAAAGATAACTTTTCTAAATGGAAAGATGATTGTATGGATGGTAACCAGCATTTCCCAGAGCACTTTTCAAGCTCCCTGTCCCACCTGTTGTTTCAGATATTTTTAATTAAAAAATAAATATACTATACTATATCAATTTATAAATGTGCATGTTGCAAATCACCAATCTCCAGCACTGGATTTATTTACAATAATAGCTTTAGGCTACTTAAGGTTGCACTGGCAAAGTCGAAAAGTATTCTGGACAGCTAGCTGAGCTTTGGAAAAGGGATTTTTTGCAACTGGCTATGCCCATTACAGCAGATATTTTATGAATAGGCAAATTTCCCATAGCAGCTACAGTATTAACGTGTGGGCCCCATGCTCTCAAAATTCTACATGTGGCTTTGGCCCCAAAAGATTCCCAATCCTTGGACTACAACCCATCTGAGGCTTTTAGCCTTAGGAATAAAGAGACAACAAAAGTCTTCAATGTTTCCATAATGTGGAGAGTAAATAGGAAAATGTTTCCTTCTCTCCTATAGCTTGAGACCATCCAATGAAACTCAGTGATAGGAGTTACATGAAGCAAAGGAAATACTTCATAAAGTAAACTCAACTCCAACGATTTCATGGGTATATCCATGTTGTTTTATTGGGAACAACGTGGAGGTGATTTGCTACTGCATTCCTCCATTTTTTTTCAGCTTCCCAATAAAAGCCTTTATAAAGCACATAGTTAGGTTAGCGAATTCTCTAAAACAAAATATGGTGATACCAACTGACAACTTTCACTGATTCCTACCCATAATGGTTTTGTATCATCACCAGAAGATCAATAATACCTGCTAGAAAATAGGAGGCTGGGATTGCTTTCACTTCACCCTCCCTGCCTGCATTTGATTAGCAAAAATGTTACCCTCCATAGAGCTTTGATCTGAAGCAGCCTAGTTTTTCTTTCTGTCCTTCCTGAAAATGCCACCGATTAATTTGAGAGAAACTAAGTAGAAGCATTTATGAAAGAGGAAGCGCTTTTCTGTCTTTCCCCCAAGGTCTTTTTACAGGTGCTCTGACAGCTGTCTTCAACCTACTTGTGGGAATTTTCTCATTAAGAAAAACAACTCACTGAACCCTTAAGGCCAATTCTCATTTACTGGTGATGCTCTCTGTACATCACATAACGTACCGACGGCCGGCAGCTGGAAACGTTTCAGTAAACAGGCTTTTAACAGGATTTTCCCCTCTCTTAACAGGCTGATGTATTAAGAGAGAAGAGAAGGAGGCGGAAAGAAGATCAAGCCAGGGAAAACGAGGCCCAAAGGCCGAGAGGGCCCTGCCAGGCACCACCCCTTCCCCCCAACAGCCTCCGATGCCGCCTCTTCTTCGCTTCCTCCCCACAGTTCTTGAAGGGGAAGCATTCAGCGACAAAGAAAATTCACCCTCTACCACTCACAAGGTGGGGACTCCCCGCTTTTCCTCCTCCTTTTTCCCTTCACCTCAAAGACGGCCGCTGCCTTTTCGCCGGAAGGACCCACTTCCACTACCAAACCACGCCCACACCTCTCCAAGGACAGCTCAGCACCATCTCGCCCAGAGTTAAAATGGGGGGCGGAGCATCACTTCCTCCTGTTGTCTTACCCCGTGAAGCAGCTCCTGTCTTATTTCAGTTCCGGGTGACTTCGAATGTTGCGATCTTAAGGGCGGGCGGAAAAACCAGCTGTTCGCGATAACTTCAAAAGCGATCGGAAAGTTTTATTTCTAAAGAGTTTGGTTACGCTGTCTTAACTTTTTCTTTATTTCTATGGTTTAGAAAAGCCCTTTGGCTCTTGAGGAAGGTGTCATCGCCCCTATGCCTGAGTCTCGCCCCTCAATCTGGAGAATTGCCCTTTTCCAAAATGGCAAACGGGGGCGGGCAGGCAGAGAGCAGCGTGTAAGTCATAGATGTTGGAAAAGATAATTGGTTGCTGTTTCCGTTAGTGGATATAGTAATAATACAGAGGAGAAATTCCTCTGGGGTTTCCTGCGCCTAGTCGCAACTTCTTTTCTCCCTCCTTCCTGCCCTAATAACCGATGGAAACGAAAACAACAGTTCATACTTCCTGTAGCACAGACTTTATTTAAGCAAATAATTTGTTTCTTTCTAGTTTCTTTAACCCTGGTGAAAGAAGAGGGTTGTTTAATCCATGTGGCAGGCAAATTGCAGGACTTACTGGATGTGAGAAAGTGACACGTAGCAATGCTGTAAACGTGCTCCTTGCACTGCAGATACTTGTGTCGGTACCCAAGCTGAGAAACGGCAGCTGAGCAAAGAGTACTCAGGTCACAAGGACCGTGTGCCTTGATCTCCATCTCTTAGCAAGGGCTGAGGGGCTATTAGTCAAAGAAGTTTATAATCAAAATTGAAATAATAATAACTTTAAAACATTTATTAACGAAGAATGCAGTCTCTGTTGCTGGACACTGCTTGTGTATGCCTAAAGTAGTAGCACACCGCCATGGAAGCCCCTACAGAAAGAACCAGGAGAGACTTTATTTCACTCAAAGACTAGCATATAGTAAGATAAAATACAGTACTGTAACATACAATAAAGCATCCATACAAATATGAATAAATGGAATAAAATGCAACATAAAGTCTATAAAACTAAGTAACTACACCTATAAAACATTTTAATCTATGAAAGTAAAAAATGTACAAAAACAAGGAATCATATATCAAATAAAATTCATACTAATGTGCAACAAAATGTAATGTGTAAATTATAATTTATAATAATATAGTATCTAATAGGTATAAAATACTGGCACAGATTCTGTATCTTCACAGACCAATAAGCAGTTATCCCCTTTCAATATTTGCAGGCGATATAGCAGTATTTAGAGACATTCAGGGAGACTGTATTATGTCTCTCAGACAGAAGGTACCAAAGATAAAATTAGTCTGATTCTCCTAGACAATTTGCTAGTAGCAGTGTTAAAACAGTTGCACAGAAATCCCTGTAAAAGGGACATGCAGAAAAAAAGGAACAGCAATCTCAATATTCTATGCAATATAGCCATTCTGCACAATATACTTATTTTACACAGGCTAAAGAGGGGGATGGAAAAGTACACTTCTCTATGGGCTTCTTGGAATAATCTCTGAATAAGTTTATTTCTTTCATTGTTTTAGTGCTTTTTTTCCTTAATTTTTAATCTCACATAGCTTTTATCTTCCACTACTGGGTATTTCATTAGCTCTGTCATGCAAAGAGATAAGAAGATGGGAAAAAGAAAGGAGCAACAGAAAATACTGGAATAGTATTAGCAAATAAACCACAAAAGCAGCAAAAATTGATAACTTCTTAGGAGTAATGAGGATAAAAATTGTAAATAACTCTAATGATAGAATGAATCCAGTGCACTTGTCAAATAGATAATCATGTGCTAGTGCGGGACTTGCAAACAGAGGTTAAAAGTCAACAAATGTTAGAATTCTTCACCTTTCTGGAAGAATCAGATTACCAAGGTCCCTCCACTTCAGTAACCCCTTCTGCTGCTGCCACCATTTCATTCAGCCACTTCATTGATTATAGAAGGTGTTCATGATGTTCAAGGGTTGATATTACCCTTTGGGTAGTCAATAAGCATTGATTAGAGATGACATCCATAATATTTTCATTCTGGGTCTAGAGTCTTTGAAAGAGATGTTTACTATATTTCCAAAAATGTCTTGAGACAAAATAACAAAGATTGTGATAGCGTAAAACTTTGGAATTAAGAATGAATAATCTGCTATGAACTAAGAAAAATCTCAGATCAAATTAAAAGAATGATAAAACACAAAAAGAATTTCTTCCAAATACAGGAGAAACAGGGAGACTGGAATTAAGAGTAATTGCACATTTCAAAATAATTTGATCACCACACTGATTATCCAAAATAGTTTTAATAGGGGCTGATAGATATCAACCCCTTTCCCCACCTTCTTCTGTCTTCTGGCCAGTTCTTCTGCTGTCAATTTCATCAGATTGATTTATTAGTAATAGAGTGGCTGCCAAGTTATTTTGTCTGTAGGAAAATTTTGTTGACATTTAAGCACACCACAATTCCTAATATGCTCTTTAAAATGAAACAATTGGGAGCACTTCCAATTTTTTCCAAAACAGGTATTTTTCAAGGAGAAAATGATTTCGCTTTCGGATCTACTCCACAAAGAAGATGGTGGCATTGTAAATTCAAAACTAAATGCTGTAGCTGTAAGAAATCACATAGTGGTGTCCTTGAGAATTAGCTTTTTTTAATAAACAGCTTCAGATAATGACTGATAACAAGTTTACTGAAGAACTTTTGGAAGCAGACTTAATTGACTCCTTTGGAGCTTTGCCAAGGTGCAAACAGAAGGATATATTGGAACAGATTAGATGAACTTTGACAAATGCTGCTAGCTCTACATGTAACAGCTGCACCATAGATTGATTTAGTTCTCTCACCTCTCTAGATGGATGCAATAATGATAATATGTTAAACCATTCTTTAATACATTTTAATTCACTAGAGAATATAGACCAGAATGGGAAACAAAACGGAACTGCTCTGTGAGATATAGGTTTTGGAGAGGAACAGCCCATAGGAGCTGGTGATGATTATAGTACATACAGTATACTTCCAGTGCTCTTTCTGAAGTTGTTCAAAAACTTGAAAAATAGGATGTGAATAATATGCATTTTAGCTCAGATTTTATTTCATTCAACCTACCATGTGCCTTAGTCATGATCTAAAAACAAGTTTTTACTACTCCAAAAGTTGAAGCATCAAAAAAGGTGTGCCGTCTGTTTCTTCAATTAGTGAATGCACTCCAGTCTGTTTTAATTGCCATAATTCTAATAAGCTGCCTCTGCACTCAGAGGTTCAGATAAATCCTAATTTGGGAATAGTTGAAGATTCTCAGGAGAAATCTCAAATAATGAAAACCTGTCTTTCACAACCTAATTTGTTTTGGAAACTTCACGATCACTTTCAGTTATATCACGGAGTGTTGCAGGGTAGAACTCCAAGTTAGATGGCCATGCTTTTTTAAATGTATGTAGATAAACATTATATACTTTTACAGGAGACATGAATTGCAGAAGACCCTTTCTTAGAGGACTTATAATGTTAGAATTGCCTTCAGTGACTATGAGCTTTATACAAATTTTCATTGCTATTGCCCTGATTTTCAGCAGTATATCCCTTATCACCTGGTCAATCAATAGACTCCATAACCAATTACAGGGGCTGCATATGATGCAGATGTTGGCCAGTTTAGACCTTGTGTCTTGAATGGCACATTGGATACTGACTCTCCAACAGAATATATCCATTGGGCTGGTAGAAAGCCCTCACTGATAGATTACGCTGTGGTTTCAAGGACCCTAGTTTTCCACTTGTAAATATTCACAATCTTTACATGTTCTGATAGTGATCACTTCCCAGCTGTTCTTCACCTGAGACTACCTGAAAATATTGATACTTGAATATTAATTCTATTCCTGAAATGGAGTATTAAATGGGTCCAACTTAAATGGTCATCTTACCAGGACTATTTGGTGAAAAGCATATTATAGTCTGAAGAGGGAACCCAGGTTTGCTTTGTGATTATGGAAGGAAGTTTGGATGGATCTATTCTAGAGAATTATACTAAACTTCTATCACTGTTACATAAAGCACAGAGCAGCACATCAGCTTTACATGCAACTGTATTCTTGTTCTATGCCTCAGCAGGATTGTTGCTGGGCTTGTACTAAGCATCCAGGTATGGTAGGGAAGCTCTTCTTGGGGTGTGGAGAATCAGAGGGGACAGATGTAAACTGGTAGCCCTCTGATGGGGTTGGACATGCAATGAACATGGCACCATTGACAGTGCAGTAAGAGGGATCACAGGTAAGGATGTATGTTGGCAATGTTGTATCCCCCAACCAGGGCAGATGTTGCCCTGCACTACTAGCACCACTGATCTACAGGGATGTGTTGCTGGTGGATTGGTGGCCATGTTGTACTTGCTAATGGGCCCAGCAACATTCAGATTTTCTGGGTCTTGGTGTGAAGCTGCTGGTTCCTCGGTACTCCCTTGTGGTATCTCACATCCTTGTTTTTACTCTGATCAGAAAATGCTGCAGACCATTTGTTGTGGGGTTACACTGATGTCATCACACAGAATTTAGTACAAAGAATGGTAGAAGAGACAGGGACATTGCCAGTTGTGTGCTGATAAATATATAACCACCAGCTCTGCTGGCTCCATTGCTGCAGCCATGCCACAAACCACCAAAGAGCTGTTTGGCACACTAGGCGTTATGGCTCAAATCTGCTCTCAACTAGCTTGGAAAATTCCTGAAATTGTAACAATTGGCTCTCACAAGCCAGTACAAGCCAGCTGTAGCATACCACTGGACATTGTTCAGCTTGGCACTGTGTGCCATGAGGCACTTTTACTCAAGTTGTAGCACCTTTGTCTGGCACTTTGTGCCAGAGTGGTGAAGCCCCAGCTCCTGAGATCCACAGCAGTCCTCTCACAGATGTCAATATTTCTGTGGATGAAGCA